ACTTTAGTGTATGATTTGTCTAAAATAAATAAAATTAAATATCAAGGTTTAATATTTCTGTTCTATGTATACTAAATTAGTTTCTAACAATATTTATCATTTCCAGTCAATTTCATTTTGTGTTTTACAAGATTTTTTGTTTAGTTTGTGTTTATAATCTTTTTTCTATGGATAAATAAAATTTAATAATATACCTAAAATATGATATAAACATTTTCTTACACTTAATTCTCTGCCCACATTGTGATGTGGATAATTTTGTTGTCAACCGTAGCGTTGATTACAGAAGGCGACTTATGCTATATTTTTTTAAATATAAAATTGACTGAGAATTATAAATATTGTTGAAACTAATCTAATAAATATTGTTGGAACTAATTTAGTATACATAGAACAGAAATATTAAACTTTGAGCTATTTAATTTTATTTATTTTAGACAAATCATCCACTAAAGTCTCGAATCATGTATGAATAATAACTTGTAAAATAAAAAATTTTCAAAGGTGTAATAGATACTTACTAAGACATTCACATTCACCAACATATCACTTATTTCATTTAATACGAATTTCTAACAAATTTGGTCACTCGTACTACACTGCTCTGGATTAATAAGCATTCTTGAGTGTGCACCAAAGTAACAAAGCAATGTAGTGCGAGTGACCAAATTTGTTAGACCGAATTCATTATTATTACTTTTTTATAACACTTTCTGATCTGGTTATATGTAAAAATGTCAAATCGTAAGCGCGCGACGCGCGGCTTCTAAGCGCCATCAGCGCACCTAACGTCAGAAATCGGAAACTGGACATTTTTTAGCTGGACATCCTAGAGAACCTAAAAAATATATGATAAAAATGTCAACATTTCGACTTTGGATTATTATAACTTTTTTTCTACAGCACCTACAGTAAAAACAAGCATACTTTTTTTATGTAATTTGGGTATACGCTATCGATTGAGCCTATTATCAACTCAATCGGCACAGCCGTTATTGAGATCCGATAATCTCGGCTCGTCTGAACTTTCGGGCTCGCGTAAAGATACACGGTCGGTCTTGCGCTCGCGTTGCGCGCTGCGCGTGAACTTGGCGCGAGACACTACCGTGTCTCTTGATAATATAAAGATCTGATACATATATGTAATATCTAAAATTGCTGACATAGAACTACATGAATGTATCTTTTACCTGTACATATAATATTACTTGTAATATTCGTAATATTACAGATACATATATAATACATTATATGGTTTGCTGGGTTTTGAGTTCCATGTCATAATTTCATATAATCCAATTTACTGCAGTCTTATTTTATACGTACAAACTGCATAACGCATATACAAAGAAAATATTTTCATGAACTGACAATCTTGTAACGGTAAAGAAAAATATATTTTCCTAATTTTTTTAATTTTTTTGGATTAAAATCGGATTTTAAATTCAGAAAGTTGGTTTCCCAGAACTCCTCTTTAAGCTGTCATTTTGGGAAAAGAGGAATCTTTTGAAAAAAAACAAAAAAAAACAGGTTTTTATTACAATAATATGCCACTCAGCCATTTTTGTCGTAAGAAACTTTTGAAATAACACATCAATTAGCCTCTTCCTCTTTTACGGCGGGGAAAACAAAAGCACTCTTCCTCATGTAAAATTTTAATTTGTATTCGTTATTTTCATTTTTAGTTTTATTGATTAAGATTATTAATTATACGCACAAAATTTTACGAGTTTTTTTTGCAAGTTTTAAAGATAATTAACCTTTACTAACTCGAAGATATAAAAGAAACTAAAAAATAAAAGCCTTATGTTTTGATCTTCTTTTTTAATCTAAAATTGAAACATATCCTTTTCATTATAAAATGTCAAAAAACAGATTTTTTCTTCAAAAAACTTAACAGGAGATCAAAAAGTTCAAAAAAATTTTTTTTTTAATTTTTAAGATCGATTTAGGAGATTTAGCAGATATCGTGGTATCATCTTTTATATGTCAGATATCATCTTTTTCCAATTTTATTTCAATTCAAAGAAAATTCTTCTGGCAAGACGCTCGTAAACGTATTATATGTTCGTATACGTATTATATATGTTTATGAAATTTTGTAATATTTGATTAATTTTTTTTATCGTTTGTATAGGCTTTAAAGTTCTATATAAATATTATAAAATTCACAAAATTTACCTGTGTAGTCCACAATAATTTGTGCCTCCGCCAGAGAGCAATATTCTTATCATGTCCTGCAGTAGCAAAGACTTCATCATCAGGATGGACCGCCAGACCCCACAATTGTCTGCCATGGCCGAATACTACTTGGTTGAATCTTCTTTGCAAAGAACCTTCGAGAATGTTGTTTCGTGTGGTTCCCACATAAATATTTCCGTCGTTTCGTCCAGGACGTTGCGGGTATATACTACGGATTCCACCTACCGATTCTGGCAGCTATAACATGAAATTTGGATCTGAATATGCAATATATACTTTTTGGATAGTAATTTTGCATTTCAAATGCATTTTATTAACATAATCTTCTATTTTTTATTGTGTCTTCTATTTTTTTATTGATTATCTTATTTTAGTAGTATTTTTTGTAATGATAGCTATTGGCTAAATATAATTATAGTATTTTATATTTTGGAAATATAATACTTTTTTAATACTTCTTTATAAAGTCAATATTAATAAAAAATAATAAAATAATGAAAAAAAGATAATTATTATTATCTTTATTGCACGTCTATGATAATGCCTTTATATTAATAAAACGTAAAATATTATTTTTTTGTTAATATTAGTGATGATAAAATCAAGTTAATATACCTTCAGTCATAGATATACAATAATTAATTTGTGTTAATAAAAAATTATATAATTAAATAATGCAAACAAGTTAATAAAAAATTAATTAAGTTAATTGTAATAAAAATTAAATTAAATTATACTGGGTGTCTGATAATTACTACGACAATGCTCGTGAGCGGACAGATTGTCGTACAACACTCGCAGTCATACCTAGAGCATATATCCCATAGTCTAGCTGCGCAAAACGCATGTTTGTTCGCTAAATCCTTCTTAATTAATTTTTCAATAATTATTGCAAAAATTGTAAAAGGATAAAGGAAATTTCTATTCGACTCATTATAGTCTATCTGCTTACGAGCGTTGTCGTGGTTATTATGAGATACTCTGTATAAAGAAATTTATTTATTAAATTATATAAAAATTATATAATACATAAATAAATATAGTGTTTTTCATAATACATAAGTATTGGGTCTGTCAAAAAGTTTGATTTGATTTTTTAATCGATCAATTTATTAATTAACGCATTACCTGAAATAATTTCAATAAAATAATCTCTATTATTTACGATGACTTTTCGAATATTTTCGAAATTCATGGGTTTACTTCTTCAAGTGAATTGCAGATTGCATCATCATCTACCTTCATGGGGCATTCAGATCGTGGCTTATTATTGAGATTAAAATTGCCGTATTGAAATTTTGCAAACCATTTTCTATTTTGGAAGTTACAGCGGCTTCTCTATAGACTTTACAAATGCTTTTAGTGGTGGTAAAAATATTCGAACCTTCTTCAAACTTAAATAACATAATGACGCAAAGTTTTCGACATTTATTTTTTTAATGTGTAAACTCAATGAAAACAAACTAATTTTGCATCAAAATAGCAACTAAGAATGTAAAGTTTGCAACAAAATATAATATATAGACATTTTTAGCAGTTTTGCCACTATTAAACAATTCTAGTAATTTGAAAATTGAACCGAACTTTTTGACAGATCCAATATATTAGCCGTTTGTGCATGATGACTGAAAACATATCAAGTTGCATATATGTGTACGTGCGCACGTGTGATTGATTTTTTTACACATATGTTATATTGTGTCGGAAAATCTCTCATTTTAATCAACCTTTGTGTCAGTGATGCGTTTGTAATTTTGCAAAGAGTCCCAAGCAGCTATTTTTCTATCTTTTTCGCCACCAGACAGTAGTGTGCCTTCCGATAACATGACGAGAGAGCTAATGCCCCTATTATGTGCCTCAAATTCCATGCGCACAAAATATGCTCCATCCGCATCCACTGAATATACCGTAATGAAGCCATCACTATCCGCTGTGACGACGTCGCCATCTTGTTCAAACTGTATGCTCGTTACATGTGTACGGGATGGCTGAAAGCATATCAAGTTACTTATATATAGTTTTAAAGTAAAATTTAGAAAAATTTGATAAAATTGTCGAGTAGGAGACTTTCTCCCAATGACCTTAGCATTGACGCATATTATTAAGACTACTACTCTGAGTAATACTGTTTTAGTCGTTTGTTATTATTTATTAAAAAGTTATTAACAAATTAAGTTTAATGAATAAAGACTTTTAGCAAATATATTTATTTAAGGCCAACGCATTCTATTTATCACATTTCAATAAATAAAACATTTTCTATTATAAAAAATTCTATAAATGATCAGTAATTATAAGTTGTATTAAAAATAAGTGTAAAATTGACCATTAATAATTAACAGAAGAAGTGATCTAAAGAGCCGTGCACATATTCGATTATATGTTACATGTTACATCATACTTTAAGTTATTTATTCCATAATAAAAATTATAAAGACTCCAATGATTAAATATCAAATTAAAGGAGTAAAAACAGCCAACGCTAGTTGTTCATGCAAAAACATGTATTGAACGTATACTGAAATAATAATTAAATTTTAGCCTGTTATCAAGCCTTTTTCGATATCAATAATAATAATATTTAAAATGCACGCAATCTTTTGACTTACAATATTAATAAGAATAAACAACATTAAAATTAATAAAGAAATTGTCTATTTGGGCTTTTTTAATAAACAAATTATCATATTAAAAAAATAGCTTCGTCAGCCCAGAGCTGGGTGTTGGTTGCTCAGTAAAGAAAAGTTAACAATTAGTTAATTCAGACGTTTCGGCTCATTTATTTTGGCCATCTTCAATGAAAATCCATAACAACAAACAAAAATTCGAGAAAGAAGTAACATGAGAATAATAAAAATATACGCCGCAAAGTTATTGCATTTTGATTACAGAATTCAGCCGTTTACACTAAGCCTACATAAAACTGGTATGAAATGTCGGAGTTATAAAATTAAAAAACTAATCTTATTTGAATTGTCAGAGATATATAAAAAATTAGCATGACGTTGTGTAACGATCCAGATGGATAATGCACTAATCTAATTCAGCGGTCGAATATGTTTGAATTATCGATCCAATGTTCTTTGACTTGTGAAGCGCACCGCAGTAATTCCACATCCTTTTTTCTTTTTGTTTTATTTTTTAAACAAAATATATATATATATATATACATGAGGATATGTGGAGGTAGACGACTGGGCGGTCACCCTGCGAGACTGTCAGTTATAGAATTGAGTGAAATATGTGATAAATAAGTGTCTCTAATATTCTGAAGCTATTAAATAAATAAAGATGACCAGAGAATGAGAGTCATAGACAATAAAAACAGTAACAGTTTACCTCAATGCACAAAATCTGTCAGATGTAAAGCAATCAGACTGTTAGTGGTATGATCGGAAGTCCGATTGAAAGGTTGAGATTCTCGACAGTTAGAGACTTTTATGTATGTCACCTTAGTTGTGTATCTATCGAGTGAGAACTGAAGCTACATGTAAAGACGACATAAATTGGGAAAAAGAAGGAGCTAATATATGAAGGGAGTGGAGGGAAAAAAGAGGAGAGGAGAGGCGAGGCGAGGGGTCGAGTGAAGTGCAAGAGCTAAGGAGAAGGGAATTATCGGAGAATAGGTAGATAAGAGTTAGGAAGGAGTTCGGTGTCACTTTGTTAAGGCTATTGTATTGTTTTTTAATGTGTAACGTTTCGGAAACCAATCTTTTTCTGTAGGAAGGTTCTCTGTCTAGAATTTCAATTTGTTCCCATTCAAAGTCATGGTTGTGGTCTAATTTATGACTCGAGATGGCAGAGGGGGAACCAGATCTTTTGTTAATATCCGCACTATGTTCTTTAATTTTCGTTCGAAGTTGCCTCTTCGTTTGCTCAACGTAAGAAGCGTCACAATCGTGGCAAGAAATTTTGTAGACAACTCCACTTTGTTGCATCAGGTCGAGAATATCTTTTCCTGTTTTTATAAATTTGTCTAATCTATTGTTGCAATAAAAGGCTGCTTTGAAATTGTGTTTTTTTGTGACAGCTGTGAATTTTTCGGATATGTTATTAATATATGGGATTGTGAAAAATCTGGTTCCTCTCTCTTCTGATTCAGCCATATTGTTTACGTTGATGACATTTTACTCGCGGCACCGAAGAATGAATTAGACAATGTTTTAGACGTGTATGGCTCGAGCTAAACATGTCTAAAACATTGTCTAATTCATTCTTCGGTGCCGCGAGTAAAATGTCATCAACGTAAACAATATGGCTGAATCAGAAGAGAGAGGAACCAGATTTTTCACAATCCCATATATTAATAACATATCCGAAAAATTCACAGCTGTCACAAAAAAACACAATTTCAAAGCAGCCTTTTATTGCAACAATAGATTAGACAAATTTATAAAAACAGGAAAAGATATTCTCGACCTGATGCAACAAAGTGGAGTTGTCTACAAAATTTCTTGCCACGATTGTGACGCTTCTTACGTTGAGCAAACGAAGAGGCAACTTCGAACGAGAATTAAAGAACATAGTGTGGATATTAACAAAAGATCTGGTTCCCCCTCTGCCATCTCGAGTCATAAATTAAACCACAACCATGACTTTGAATGGGAACAAATTGAAATTCTAGACAGAGAACCTTCCTACAGAAAAAGATTGGTTTCCGAAACGTTACACATTAAAAAACAATACAATAGCCTTAACAAAGTGACACCGAACTCCTTCCTAACTCTTATCTACCTATTCTCCGAAAATTCCCTTCTCCTTAGCTCTTGCACTTTACTCGACCCCTCGCCTCGCCTCTCCTCTCCTCTTTTTTCCCTCCACTCCCTTCATATATTAGCTCCTTCTTTTTCCCAATTTATGTCGTCTTTACGTGTAGCTTCAGTTCTCACTCGATAGATACACAACTAAGGTGACACACATAAAAGTCTCTAACTGTCAAGAATCTCAACCTTTCAATCGGACTTCTGATCATACCACTAACAATCTGATTGCTTTACATCTGACAGATTTTGTGCATTGAGGTAAACTGTTACTGTTTTTAAAAATACAAATAATATCAAGTTATTGCTTTTCCTTAATTAAATTAAAAATCGTTTTAAAATAAAGCCAAACAGAGCAAGAGCTGGATCGATTTGCTCAAAAATTCTTTTTTATTATATACAGACGTTTCGGCCAAGGTACGTGGCCATCTTCAGTGTAATACAATTATAAAACTTAGAACATAATTATGTTACTGTTTTTATTGTCTATGACTCTCATTCTCTAATCATCTTTATTTATTTAATAGCTTCAGAATATTAGACACACTTATTCATCACATATTTCACTCAATTCTATAACTGACATTCTCGCAGGGTGACCGCCCAGTCGTCTACCTCCACATATCCTCATGTATATATATATATATATATATATTTTGTTTAAAAAATAAAAAACAAAAGAAAAAAGGATGTGGAATTACTGCGGTGCGCTTCACAAGTCAAAGAACATTGGATCGATAATTCAAACATATTCGACCGCTGAATTAGATTAGTGCATTATCCATCTGGACCGTTACAGAACGTCATGCTAATTTTTTATATATCTCTGATTCAAGTAAGATTAGTTTTTTAATTTTATAACTCCGACATTTCATACCAGTTTTATGTAGGCTTAGTGTAAACGGCTGAATTCTGTAATCAAAATGCGATAACTTTGCGGCGTATACTTATTTTTATTATTCTCATGTTACTTCTTTGTCGAATTTTTGTTTGTTGTTATGGATTTTCACTGAAGATGGCCAAAATAAATGAGCCGAAACGTCTGAATTAACTAATTGTTAACTTTTCTTTACTGAGCAACCAACACCCAGCTCTGGGCTGACGAAGCTATTTTTTTAATATGATAATAAACAACATATTAAATAAGCTGCACGAAACCGATAATAAATGATGTCAAGCATTTCACAATGATAAATTTGTGTAATGAGTCAAGTATTTTGTACTAAAATAAAATAAAACTGAAAATTTTAATGATAATTCTCGAAAGGATGAAACAGAATAAATAAAATAAGTGCATAATAGACTCCCGATAGATGCGATTTAGTAAAAGACATGGAAGAGTCAGATAGTGTAAAAATGTACAAATTAATTTATCAAATCATGGTTAAAATAATAGTGAGAGCGTTATAAAGCAAAGAAACGATGATCCAAGCAATGAGGAATGGTTGAGGAGGGGGAGCTTAAAATATAAGGAATAGGAAAGGAAGTATAGTGGGACATGGACAAGGAATTATTAATTATTGTTCGGTTGCCGACAGTTTCATAACATTGTCGGTTGCATGTAAATTTTTATATGCAATCTTTGATAAAGGTAATGACCAGCTACCTTTTATTCGCGAGTGGATCGAGTAGCTTACGGTGAAAAGGGATGGTTCATTTGCATGTTTATTTCATATATTATAATTCGTCTGTCTTTGTTGATCGTTGCCTTAGCAACAGATTGATATGAAACCTATTCTCTTAGCAACCGTTGTTGTTTACAATTTATATTCAATTAGTAAATATGTGTAATATTGTATTGTAAAACTATTGTGAAAGTAATAAATGTTTTGTGTTTTGTGTTACGTCAAAATGTTTATTCTCTCGTATTTGTGCCTGTCGAAGACAATCATAATTGTAGTGGATCTCTAACCAAATATTTCGGAGAGGGCGAGTTCCCCAAACATTTTGGTCCTTCAAGCTGGATAGAATTCCTGAATTTTTGCAAGTCTTGTGGATATCTCGAGAGATGCTTTCGTTAATGCAGTTTCGCATGGGTGCAATTCGGGACCTTGAGATGAGTAAGTAACATTTTGTTACTTATATCAGTGTCACGTCGTAGGTCAGTACATTCCTCTTTTCGCGAGTGTCGTGATATCGGTCAAGGCAGCAACCCTACGCGAGAGTCACGCCTTCGAAGAGTGCGTTTTGCTATCTGTACGTGTCGCGCCTTTGGTGAAGGCACCCATTTTTTGACTTACGCGTTGTTGATTAGTACATTTCGCGAGTGTTGTGATATCGGTCAGGTCAGCAACCCTCCGTGAGAATCACGCCTTCGTTAAGTGCGTTTTTGCTATCTGCACTTGTCGCGCCTTTGGTAAAGGCATCCATCTTTTCGATCTACGCGTCGTAGTCGCCTGATATTCGCGTTGTGTCTATCGATTGAGGCGTTTTCGATTTGTGTCATTACATATTACGCTCAAAAGATACATATTGTATTTCTTCGATATCACATCAAACATGGAGGCTACAATCAAGAAACAGATGTCCAACGTTGGATATATTGAGGTTTGGGAAAATCTTGTCAAGGTTGGCAAAGAAAAGTTATCGTCAGCGTATTTGAAGACTCGCCTGGAATTACTAGAAACTTATTGGACTCGTTTCCTGAACCAACATGACAAGATTCTGTCGTTCGATTAAGCAGAGACTACGCATTATATGACTTCACAACAGGAGGATGTCTTCACAACAGTTGAAGAAAGTTACATTGATGTCAAATCAAGAATAACTGAAATTTTGTCAAGAACAGACAATGTGGAACATTTAGTTGATGATTCATTCAATTCTAGTTCTGGAATTAAACAACTCCAGTTACCTCGAATTAACCATTCTTCTTTCGATGGAGATCAACTGGCATGGGAAGGTTTCCGGGATTTATTTAAGTCCCTGATTCATGACGTGGAAGGATTGTCTCCCACTCAAAAACTACAGTATTTGAAGATCAGTCACAAAGGAAAAGCTGCGTCAATTATTGCTAATTTACTGATGTCCTCAGACGGCTATGCTCTTGCTTGGAACGAATTAGTATTTCGTTACGACAACAGAAGAGTTTTAATAGCTATTTATATGCATAAGTTGCTCTCTTGCCCACCAGTGTCAAAGGCATCTGCAATTGAAATCAATCGAACACATATAAAGGAAAGGCTCAAATGATAACTATCAAATAATATAATAGAAAGGCATTGAGAGCCGTCGCGGGATGTTAGTGCAAAATTTTAATTTTTCTTAAAGAAATTAATTTTTAGTGTTGTGAATGTAGCAATGCGTTCTTTTTGCTCATTAGGTTGTCCTGTCGAGTGCTGGGATGATTGGTTTGTTCACATTGTAGTCGATAAATTAGACTCATCGACACGATTGCAATGGGAAATCACTCGGAGATCTAATCAAGAGTTTCTTTCATTTGGAGAGCTCAAGGGTTTTTTGACTACACGAGCTCATGCTTTGGAAGCGGCCAACCCGCGAACATTACAAGATTCCTCTTCAGAATCTATCAAATCCAAAACAAAAAATAATGTCTCTTCTCATGCTACAACGTCAGATGCAGAAGAAAAAAAAACACAATGTCCTCATTGTAAAGAGCAACATTTTTTACGCTCATGTGTCAAATTTAAGGCTCTTTCTACGGAACAACATCGTGAGCAAGCAAGAAAGAAAAGGGCTTGTTTCAACTGTTTGGCCCAAGGTCATGGCAGCCTGTCCTTCAAATTATTGTTGTCGCACTTGCAACGAAAAGCATTATTTGCTTCTACATCAATCAGAAACGGATTTACAATCACAGAAGTTATCCAAATCGAAATCCACACAATCATCTTTGTCGTCTGACAAACTCAGCTTGACAGAAGATACAAAAAAGTTGCTGCATTGTCAAGTTTCACAAGTAGCACCGTGCTGCTCGCAACTGCTTTGGTAAAGCTAATCGGTTCTAACGGTAATTCAATGATCGTTCGTGCGCTTGTCGATTTAGGGTCGGAAGCATCATTTATTTCAGAACGAGTAGCTCAGAAATTACGACTGCCACGACGTAAAGTAAATGTTACAGTTTCAGGACTTCAAGGAGTCACCACTGGAAAGGTCACGCATGCTGTTTCCCTTACCATCGGTTCAGAGTATTCGCCATCTTTGCGTATTACTTTACCATCTGCTTTGGTTTTGGCTAAGCTCACTACTGTTTCTCCTGGAATTTTCAAAGGTGATTGGCCACATCTTGAAGGGATCCAGTTGGCAGATCCAGAATATGGAAAACCAGCTACGATTGATGCAATAATTGGAGCCGACATTTACGGAATTTTACTCAATGGTGGAGTAAAACAAGGTTCTCCAGGAAGTTCGACAGCTCATTCTACTGTTTTTGGATGGGTGTTAATGGGATCATTGTCAGACAGAATCAGTTCTCATTCTATTAATATTGTTTCTTACCATTCGACAATGGATAAAGATCTTCATCAAGATCTTCAACGATTTTGGGAAATGGATGAGGTATCTACCGAGAAGATTCTCACACCCGAAGAAGCTTATTGTAAGCAACATTTTATAGATACTCACACGCGTGACCAAGAAGGACGCTATGTTGTGCGCCTTCCAATTAAAGAAGGTTCATTGACGGGACTTGGACCCTCTCGTCAAAGAGCTTTGCAAATGCTCTTGACAACAGAGCATCGACTTGAGCGAAACTCATTGCTCAAACAAAATTATATAGACTTTTTGAATTCATATCATTCTTTAGGTCATAGGGGCTTGTATCTAATGGACAAGAGCAAAGTAATAAAACGTATTACTTGTCACATCATGCGGTCGTAAGATCAACAGACCCTGAAGGCAAAATTCGGGTCGTGTTTAATGCTTCTTTTCGAACATCTACGGGAGTATCATTAAATGATTGTCTTCTTGCTGGTCCTAGACTTCAAGCAGACTTATGGATGGTTCTTATTCGATGGCGTCCGTTCCAATTTGCATCGTCAGACATCGTCAAGATGTTTCGACAAATTCGTGTCCATTCAGATGACATGGATCTTCAGCAGATTTTATGGCGGGCGGAATCGAGTGCGGAAATACAAGTTTTTCGTCTTACCACCGTCACATACAGAACACCCTTGACACTTTACCTTTCTCTTCGAACTCTTCAGCAGTTAGCGCAAGATGAAAGTACACATCCTCTTGGAGCGACAGTTATTCGTTTTCACACATATGTCGCCAGAGCACATTCTTTGGAGGACGCATTGGAGGTTAAAAACCAAACCATCGATTTTTTGGTGTTTGGCGGTTTTCAACTTAGTAAATGGGCCAGCACACACAATGTTCTGAGTCCAGAAAATAATCAATAGGAAAGGCTTATTTCATCCGCAGATCATGTTGTCACTTTGGGTGTTTTATGGTCACCTTTTGATGATTAACTCAATTTGAGAGCAATTCCGGATTTAATCTCGACAAGAGAACCCACTAAAAGGATTGTTCTTTCGGACGTCGCAAAGCTGTTTGATCCAGCAGGTTGGGCAGCTCCTGTAATTATCACCGCCAAATTCTCATCCAGGATCTTTGGATGGCTGGTTTAGAATGGGATCAACCACTTTCTTTTGATTTTCGAGTGCGATGAGAAAGTTTTAAGTCAACTTTTTCAGACTTAAATAAATTAAAGATTCCTCGTTGGACAGGAATAGAACATAGCATGGAGTTGCATGGATTTTCAGATGCCTCCGAACGAGCATATGCCGCGACAGTTTTTATACGAGGCAAAGGACCATCTGGTATTTATCGAACAAATTTACTAGTCGCAAAGACCAAAGTCGCACCGGTTAAGCCAGTTTCGATTCCGAGGTTGGAATTGTGTGGCGCGCTTTTACTGGCTCGACTTCTGAATCAAACTGCCATTGGACTTGGCATTTCTTATCCCGATATCTTTGCATGGACGGTTGCCAAAGTTGTTTTAGCTTGGATCAAAGCTCATCCATCCAGATGGAAAACGTTTGTAGCAAACAGAGTTGCTACAATACAAACTTTAATTCCAGCAAAGTGTTGGCGACATGTATTTTCTTCGGAAAATCCGGCGGATGCTGCAACTAGAGGTATTTCGCCGTTAGAATTATCAGAGTTTCGACTATGGTAGTAAGGTCCTCTGTGGTTAGAAAATCCGGTTATTTCATGGCAAAATGAAGAAAATGAACTTTCAGAAGAGTGTGAGCAGCGTAAAGTTCTCGCCGTCAAAGCGGATCAATCCAAAATAGAGAATGAGTTATTATTAAGATTCTCATCTCTCAACAAGTTATTAAGAGTTACTGCTTATTATATTAGATTCTTTCGTATTAAAGATCGGCCAAAGACTATTCATCTTTCAGCAGATGAACTCAATGAAGTCTAGAAACGATGGTTGCAATTAGCACAGTTGCAGAATTATTCAAAAAAACTCGTGGCTCTCACTCGAGGGGAACCTGTACCATGTCGTTCGTCATTGTTATCGTTACAACCAATTCTTGGTTCTGATGGATGAATAAGGGTTGGCGGTAGACTTAGGCACTCTCCGTTGCCCTTTGAGGAAAAACATCCCGTTATTATTGCGAAAGAAAATCATCTTTCGCTTTTACTAGTTCGTGATGCGCATCATTGTACTTTACATGGTGGACCACAGCTGATGCGGAGTGTTCTTGCTCGTCGCTACTGGATCGTGCAAGCAAATACTCTTATTCGTTCCGTAGTTCATTAATGCACCAAGTGTATTTGTTTCCGAAGTAAAGCTGTTCAACAACAGATGGATCATCTTCCAGTTGACTGAGTACGAGCTTTACGCCTATTCTTGTCTTCAAGTGTAGATTATGCTGGTTCCATACAATTACGGACTACGAAAGGACGCAGTCAAAAATCATACAAGGGTTACATATTGTTGCGCCCAGGCTTTTTTGTCGCTGATGCTGCATGCAGTCAGTTGAGAGACCGATCGATAATATCGATCGGTCGTTCAACAGTTCTGGAAGCTGTTTCTTAACAGCTGAAATGTTATAAACAGTTTCTTTGGTAATATTGTTTAGACGTCTCTATGACAGTTTGTAAACAAACTGTGAGGCGTCAGATTTTCGGGAGCTATCTGTTCGGGCGGACGTATACGACAGCTCCGATTTTTCAATCTGTTTTTCGGTTACTCGTTGTATTCGTTTAAGTTACTGTTATTATTAAAATGTTTCTTTTACTCTAATAAAATGTTCCTTTATTCCGCGAGTTCCGTTTGACGTGTTTAATACCGTTCTGTGGGCGCAACAATATAATCACTGCATTTCGTGCGCAGCGCGTTGTCATATGCAATCAGCGCATATTACACTTTGAAGTTTCGCTTGTAGTGACTACGGGAAAATAATATATGAAACGAAAACAGTAAATGAATCAATCTGTTCAACATATATTCACCCTGACTCTACCCTCTTGGCCCGACTTGACAGACAATAAATTGAAATATAAAATTCCGTGAAGTTTACTCTTTTTCAATAATTTTAATATACTGCAATATAATCTACATACTATTACATTCTATTAAATTACTACGATACTACTTCTCTTGTTAATATCTGTTCTATGTTTTTTAACTTTGCTGTTATCTTATATAGAACACCGCAATGAGACAAAGCATTCAACTGTTTTCTCCTCGTTTTGATAAACTATCTGAAATTATTTGTAACCAAAAATGGTATTCTAAGATTAAAAATTCTCGCTATCATAAAATCCTTGAAATAAATATGCATATTAGGTTAAATCTCATTTATTTTTTCTCCATTTAGATATGTTGTAGGGGAGGTTGTTCTGAAGAGGGGAACACTAGACATGTGGGTCTCCGATTTTGCCAAATTATGTATAGTAACACTCCCCCCACTAATCCGTGATAAAGTGATACGATGTGATACGAACTCCCAAAAATAAGCAAGAAAAACGCGTTTAAACATTTACGTGCGCGTAATCTACCGAGCACTAACAACGAATTGACAACTAAGCGGCGTTGTTTAGTGGGTAAGGCGCCTGGCTAGTACTTCGCATATTGCTGGTTCGTATCTTACGTTAAAAAAATTTTTTGAGTGTGTAAATGGTTATGAATGCTTATTATTTTATTAAATGTTAAATTGATGTCCGTCTGCTACTTAGCAGTGTTCCAAGCAAACGTAAAATATATTTATAACATGTAATTATTATTGCATCATCAAATTTCCGTTGTAATTAAACTTGAAACATTTAATATTTTTTTCCTTTAAATCGTCCATGTTTGTAGGTTTCGTTTCATAGACCTTACTTTTCAAATATCCCCAGTAGAAATAGTCAAACGGGCTCAGATTAGGAGATCTCGATGGTTATTCTATTGTACCTCTTCTACCAATCCAACAAAAATTTTATTTAGAAAATTGCGAACATTTAAAGCGAAATGAGCTGGAGCTCCATCTTGTTAAAACCAAACATTTTCAAAAGCATCTCCAACAGCATTTTGGATACCTGGTATTATTCGGTTTCTCAACAAATTCAAGTAGTTTTCCTGTTAAATTACTGTCAATAAAAAATGGTCTTACAATACGATTACACAATATCCCACAATACCTTTTGAATAATGCTAATGCCGGCGGTACTGTTACTTTTACTGTTACTTCTTATAACTCAAAAAGTACTTAATGAAAGAATACTTTATTATAGTGTTTTGAAAACATCTCGATTTCAATTACAAGAATATGCAATAAAAAATAAGGGTTTCCATTTAAAATTTTTATATTGACCTTGACCGGGCTTTTCAAGGTCATCCAAAGCTCAAATAAATATCATCAGCTAATAGACTTTTTTTAAGCCCTACTATTTTTGTTTGAAACATTTTTCCAATAAACAAACACTTTCTGAGATAATTGGCCGTTTCGGAACTTTTACTACGCACTATATAAAAGATTGATTTTAGAAATATTATTCATCAAACGCTAGAATGTCAAAATGTCTGAATAGACAGAGTGACACCGATTTTTTATCAGTGGTTTGTCTACTAGTTCTAAACTTATTTCTCTTTCTACAGTTAACAATTACTTTTCCTCATTTCCTTACTTCCTCCATGTCCCATTATACCTCTTTTCTCATTCTTTATATTTTAAGCTCCTCTTCCTCAACCTTTCTTCATCGCTTGGATTATCGGGCTTTTTACTTTATAATGCTATCACTATTATTTTAATTATGATTTGATGACTCAATTTGTACATCTCTGTTCACACTACCCAACAAAAATTAGGACATTTTATGTACGTCCTATGTATATACATATATGTATATTGTATATTCT